AAAAAAAAAAAAAAAAACCTGGGAGTGGGACCCAGAAATCTGTATTAAATCTTTCAGGTGGTTCTGATCTACTCTAAAGTTTGAGAATTACTGCCCTAGAAAATTTGAACTACACCCTTTTGCCAGTAATTATAAATTTCTCTCTTCATTCTCCAGCCCATGTGTCTCTTCTAATCTCCAACTACCAGCTTCACTTGGATATCTCACTGGTGCCTCCTATACAACATATCCCTAACAGAGCCACTCATAAACTCTTCTCCCAACCAGTTCTTCCCCTAGTATTCCCTCTCAAATACTTTACTGCTCCAGCCAGAAACCTGAGACTTTCCACCCCACCTCCCATTCAATCACCAAACCTCTTAAGTATATTTCAAATTCACCTACCTTTTTCAATCCTTACAAGTACCACCCTAGACCAAGGTACCACCATCCATCTTTATCTGGCCTAAAGCTTAATCAGTCTCCCCACAACTACTCTTGTTCCCCTCCAAATCTTCTCTATCATTCACTTGCTTAAAACACTCCTTTTCACTTCTTATTGTCCAAAGGTTAAAGAACAAGATTCTTAAAAGGTCTCTAATGCCCTACATGATCTAGTAATACATATAAAGCAGTTACAACAGTACCTGGCACAGAGTACAAATGCTCATTACATGTCACCTAGTATCCCAAGCTACTCCCACTCTGTTGCAGCCCCATGACTTATTTCAAGTCTTTCAACATATACTCTTTTCTACCTCAGCTTTAATATAAAGTGTCCCTTGCCTCATCTTATTCATCCTTCCAGCCTCAGTTTTTTTCTGCACATTCCCCTAACAAAATAAGAAGTCTTCCAGTTACATAGTTCCAAACATACTGTACTTATTCATCATAGTTACTACACTGGTCATCATGTAAACAGGGTTTGTCTTTTTCACTAGAATGTACGTTCCATGAGGACCAGCACTGGACTGACATTACCTACTGCTGTAATCTATCTGTCTAGGCAGACAGCGGGGACTCAGTAAATGCTGGCCAAGTGAGTACATGTTTTTCACTTTCTCATTCAAAAACCTTTGTCCTGCACGAGTTCAAGAGTTCTGTTATACTCAGCTTTCCTGGGTTTCCGTTTCTATATTGGCTACTCTTTCTCTGGCTCATCTCATCTCCATCACTCTTTATATTGACCAAATATCTGTCCTTGTCTATTTTCTTTAGTTCTGCTACCAATTTCTTCCTTGGTAATCTTATACATATCATGTTTTTAACTATCACCTGTGGGCAGATGATTTCGTATGTTTATCCCCATTCCAATCTCTCTTAAGCTCGAATCCCACGTTTCCAATTGCTTAGTAGACATGTCTATCTGGTTGCCCTAATGGTATCTCAAATTCAATTATAACTGAAATTAAGATTATGAATATCTTCCCTTCAAAGCTCCTTGTCCTAAACTTTCTTTCAGTAAATGACACACTCTCTATTTATCAGGTCTGAGGCCTAAATCTTTGCCCCAATGAGTCATCCTCAATTCCTTATATCTAAACAATCAGCAGCCCTTTCCTTTGAATTCTGACTCTGCTAAACATTTCTCATTTGTTCCTCATTTTCCATTTCCACTGGTACTACTCAGATTCAGTTCTCTATTAGCTTTTCGTACTATAGCGATAATCTAGTTATTCTCCTTGACTTCAACACTGTTGCCATATTAATGTTCCTGCAACATGTCTTTCTCCCTTCCTTCCTTCCTTGTTTCTTCCCTCCTTCCCTCTTTCTTTCTTCCATTTTCCTCCTTAAAAATTAAGGTTCCCATTGCCTTCAAAATAAAGCCCAATTTCTTGGCCTAGCATTTAAAAAGATTCAGTAACTGGCACAAAAATTTTAATTCTTCATCCCCAGATCTTCGTTAGAGCACAGCCATTAGCTAGCCTTGCTACTTCTACTCATTTTTTCTCTGTCTGGGAGGCTTTTTATTCATTCATATATTTCCAAATTCTATCAAGACCCAGCTCAAATACCACTTTCATGCGGACTCTACTCACAGCTAGTGTGTCCTTCCCCATCTGCCCCAGTACTACTAAAAATCTTGCCCCCTAGGATATCTCAAAGTGCTTTCTCATGGTACTGGAATTTCCTACCTTGAACCATACTTTTTTGGGGGCACATGTGTTATATTCTCTATAAAACTCTGAGTACTTTAAGGGGAGAGGCTAGCTTTCTTGCCTATCACTTTGCTATTTTGCAAAGTACCACAAAATAACGGCTATGGAATTACTAGAGATCAAAGTATAATGGCCTTTCCTCTCCTACACAATTTTAAACATTTCCAAAGTCCCTTCGCCAAAAGCAACAAAAAAGAAACTGAAAGCCATCCCACCCCGCCAAAATCCTCAAACATCAAATAGCAAAAACAATACAAAACAAAAAAACACCGCTTTCATGACTGGGGACTTGTACAATGTTCCTATCTGCAACTCTCTTCGCAATTCTTTATCTGACTTAAATTCAGTAATCCCACCAGATTGTAAACTCCATGCAATCAGGGGCTTGTTTTATTCACTGTTATATACCTAGTGCTCGGAATTTAATAAATTCTCAAAAAAAATTGTTGCGAGAATGAAGTAGGTTTCGTTTAAATGTCACTTTCTAGGGCTCCTGTGATTTCTCCAACTTAAATTAGGCATTCACATATAAATATATGCTTTCCTCTAGATCCCATTTCCCACCCTACATGCCAATCTTCTAAAAAGTCCAAAACTGACAATTTGCATCTGTATGAGATGAAGGAAATTGAACCTCATCACGCAGAGTTCAGTATTAGGGTTGCCATCTCATAACGGCTCTAGAAAGCTTTGCCTCTTTTGTCTTTGCAAGCTCTTGCAACTCCTTCTAATAAACAGGCTTTCAAAGATGCTGCCCTTTTCATTCGTCCACTGAGTTCTGGGTCCTGGATTACACTGATACTTAGGCACACGTCTGGAAACGTAGAGGCGGAAAGACCTTGAATCCAAACCAACCAAGTAATAGAGAATATGAAAATCAGCCGCAGCGGCTCAGAAAAGGAATGCCAATCTTCAGACTGAAGGCAGGACACCCCGAAGGCCTAGCACGGGGTAAGGTCCTTGACTTGTGAGCCCGAGAGAAGGTGAGGCAGAACGAGGGAGGTGTACAGAAATGTCATCAAAACCTTCCGAGGAAGGTCCGAGACAGGGTTCCAAGGACCTGGTCCCTGGGGCCGTGCCCCTAGTCCGCGTGCCCCACACGCAACACCCTCACAATCCTCAGTGAAAGGGGAGAGTGTTCAGCCTGGGCACTCGACCACCTGCAAATTACGAGGTTCCCCTACAGGGAAGGAGGAAACTAAGACCTCACGGAACTAACTCTCCCACTTTGCCCCTCGAGAAGGCCTCGAGGCTCCCGGAGGCGGCTGGGAGCCGAGGAGCTCGTCTCAACTCACCGCTCCGCCCGGGTGCTCCGTCGGTTCCCGGTAGCCAGACGAACCGGTCCTGCACCGGCGGGTTCCGACAGTGAGAAAACAAAGGTTCCCACATCAGGGTCGACGGAGGAATCTTTTGGCTGTGCGACGCTAGGAAGTGACGTAATTCCTCTCCTTCCGGTCCGCCGGATTATGAATGACGGACAGTTGTGCTGTTACCCTGATGCGCTGCCTGCTGTTTCTCTCCGGTCTCGTGGGCTGCGAATGGTCAGCGGGTGAAGACTCCCTGAAGCAGCCTCGCGAATCCCGGCTCCGGCGGGGCGGGAATGCGCTGGCGGCCCGTGTCGCCGACACACTCACGCACCCTCCCTGCCTGGCCGCGCCTCTGCGACCAGGTAAGGAGGGCGCTCGGGCCGCCGGTTCCGCAGTCTCCGCGACCCCGCTGAGACTCCTCTTTGCATCCGGCGCGACAGGGTCGACGATGCGGGAAGGGTGGGGAGGGTGGAGAGGGCCGGGCCCCGTCTCAGTTTTCCCAAGGCCAGTCCTCATGGCTTCCTCTAGTGATGGGGAAATGGAACAACTTCCAGTCGCAGGAGTCTGTGGGGTCGTTTGCCATTTGCTGCTTAGGGTAGTTTCAAGACCTCTTGGGTCGCGCTTTAACTTCTTTTTACCCCCACTTTGTTTTCCATTCTAGCCCTTCCTTATTGGAGAAAGACCTTGTATGTGAATACTTCCTAACAGTTGCTCCAAAGAACTTACTTCATTTGGGGCCATTTGTTTCTGTTACACTGTCAAAGCAGTGTTTTACTTTGGTTTTAAACTTCTATAGAAAGTTTGAGTTAAACTTGCATGAAAGTTGCTTTGACTTCAAAAACGTTTACAACTACATGTACTTCCCAAAGCGACTCTACCTGGTTTGGATTAGGTGGCTTCATTTTTTCCCCCTTTATTCTCAAATGTCATGATCCCTTAATGGCCATCATCCCATTCCTTGTCATAAGTTCTTGAATGTCAAGGAAATGCCAACATTTAATAATATATCTTGTCCTAAATTATTGATAAAGTAGGCAGAGTACTACTTTTTTCTAAGCTTATCGAGAAACAGCGTTTAAAGGAGAAAATACCAAAGCTGGCAAGAACTAGTGGCGTGACAATTTTAAACATTAACCATGGCCGTTAAATATTGTGAAAATAAATTCTTTGTTATAACTATAACTGAGTGATTTGCTGTCGTATTTAATAAGTACTTAATAAATCACACACTAAGCTCTGTGACTTTAAAAAACTGCCTGGTGGATAGTATACATTACTGATGATTGCCTTAAGCATAGTCGTTTGAAATTATGTTTGAGTCATACTTGAAAGCATCATTTTAAGAAGCCTAACTTCAAAAATAAATCTGTGTCCAAAGCAGTGAGATTTGAAAATTAATCAGTTCCTTTGTTTGTTTGTTTTACACTCCTGTTAACATGTTTGCCTGCTCTAAACAAAACTCAGACTTGAACTTCTGCAGTAGTGGGCCCATCAAGCTTGTTTTTTTGTGTTTTGGCGGGGGGGGGGTGGCGGGGTAGGGGGGGTTCTGGTTTGTTTTTGTTTTAGCCTGTGTTTACTGTGTAGCTTTTGTATTGCCTGTGGCTTGAAATAATAAATACTGAATATCCAATTGGCCTTCCAGTAGCACAATTTAGCAGACCTTGAAGCTTAACAAATTCTGAGGCCAGTCAACTAAAACATCTATAGTATAAACAGCTCCTTAGTATATGTTGTTTTTATCTTCAGGTTTTCAAAGTAGCCTACTGAATTCTGTTTTGATTAGTACTTGGAAAGCAAGGTTTTAAACCATTTAGATCATAATAAGCAGGAATATTGTTTGCTATGGGGATTCAGTAATTTTATTTCAGGCTTGCTGATGTGTTTTTAACATGTTAGCATTCGTGCTGTAGGTCCTTATTAATTATAAGGTCAGGCTTAGCTGCAAGCATTATGATTCTTTGGCAACAGATGATTCCCTGATTCTCCAGAGAGAAGATGACACACTTCCCTTATGGCTAAGGTTATAGTAAGCTTTTTTTACTTTTAAACTTTTTTTCCCCCCACATCTTGCCCAAATAAGAAAACAGCTAATTTTAATAATAGAATTTTGTCCTCTAAGACTTAACGATATATATTCCCACATTACCTAGTGTAACGAGCACTGAAATAGCTCAGCTTCTTTTCTTTCATTTTTTAACCTTTAATATCTGAAGTAATAGCTGCTAACTAATGCTGTAGAGACAAACTTTTTAAAAAATCTATCTTATTGAAAGAAAATAGTGAGATTTACAACCAAGTACTGTGATTTTTAATGTATAAAACACAAGCTAAGTTCTAATTTTCATAATGTTGAACATTTGATGTAGTAGGGAATTTAAGTGAGTTTCAATTTTAATCTTTAAGAAAAATAAGAGTTTATAATTTTTTCATACTTGTTAACTGCTTTAAACGATTTGTTTTGTACAATATAAGCAGCTA